TGAGTTTGCCTGGGGGTAGGGGCCCCTCGCTGGGGTGATGAAGGATGCAGGGGAGACGGGGTACTGGGGGCCCCATGGGGGGGGCCCCCATGACTGCAGCAAAGGGGAGAGAGGGGCCCCGCTGCCACTGGGGGCCCCTGAGGGCCCATACACCTTGATTGAGGGCCCCCCAATCTATTTCGGGTTGCAGCAGACGGAGAGCAGCAGCAGCAGCAGCAGCAGAATTGAGTTTATAAAGAGAACGAGAATAGAGAGAGAAATAAATAATACAGAAAGGAGGGAAAGAGGCCCAATCACGAGCGGGGCTGCGTGTCTTCTCATCCCATATAGCTTCTGCTGCTGCTGCTGCTGCTGCTGTTGCTGCTGCTGTTGCCGTTTGTGGTGCTGCTGCAGCAGAATCTGCTGCAACTGAGATATCCTGTGAAGACGAAGTAGCAGCAGCAGCAGCAGCAGCAGCAGCAGCTGCTGCTGCTGCTGCTGTTGCTGCTGCTGCTCCGTCTCTGCGTCTCCTCCCTGGGGGCCCCCCGGGGGCCCCCATGATAGAGAGGGCCCTGGGTACAGTCCAGAAGAAATCTGCTGCTTGTCTTTGTGCTGCAGCAAGAGAAGCAGCAGCAGAAGGGAAGTGTGCATGCAAGTCATACTCAAGTTTATAAAAAGAGAGAGGCAGCAACAGAGAAGAAACAGAAAGCAGACGAGAACGACGCAGAGATATTATGTACACCTGAACGCAGCAGCAGCAGCAGCAGTAGCAACAGCAGCAGCAGCAGCAGCAAACGCAGCAGAAACAGCAGCAGAAATAACGCAATATGATGGGCTTTACAAACTGTCGCTGCAGCAGCAGCAGCAGCAACTAATGCAGCAGCAACAGCAGCAGCAACAACAGGCGATCAACAGCAGCTGCAACAGAAGCAACAACTGCTGCATATAGAAGCAGCAGCAGCAACATAAAACAGCAGCAGCAGCAGCAGACAGCAGCAGCACCAGGCAGCAGCAGATAGAAGCAGCAGCAGCAACAGCAGCAGCAACAGCAGCAGCAGCAGCAGCAGCAGCAACAGCAGCAGCAGCAGGCTCACTTGAATGTGTGTAATGCCGCTCTTTGACCAGCAGCCATCGTAGCAGCGCTCTGCTTCCTCATCATCATCATCAGCAGCAGCAGCAGCAGCAACAGCAGCAGCAGCAGCAGCAGCAGCAGCAGCAGCAGGTGAGGGGGCCCCCGCCCCTTTTCTTTCAGGGGCTGGAGAGACTCGCTTGCTGCTGCCTGCTGCTGCTGCTGCTGCTGCTGCTGCTGCTGCTGTTGCTGCTGCTGGTGTTGCTGCTGCAGTAGACGGCAGCGGGCTGGGGTCTCTGTCTCCTTCGTCTTCTGTGCTGCTGCTGCTGCTGCTGCTGCTGCTGTTGCTGTTGCTGCCTCCGCCTCCTTCCCCCCCTCCCTCAGCAGCATCAGCAGCAGCAGCAGGAGCAGCAGCAGCAGCAGCAGCAGATGAGTTTGCTGCTGCAGGGGCCCCATAGAAGACACGATGCACTACTACATCTTTATATAAATAAGGAGGCAGCAGCTGCTGCTGCTGCGGGTACCGTAAGCCGAGAGCAGCAGCAGAAACACAAAGACAAGAACCAGGGTACAGGCATTTCTCTATACTATCTATCTCCTGCTGCTGCATCTCATCTGCTGCTGCTGCTGCTGCTGCTGCTGCTGATGAGGCCGGGGCTGTTGCTGCTGCTGCTGCTGCTGCTGCTGCTGCTGAGGCGGGGGGGCCTTCTGCTGCTGCTGCAGCTGATGAGGGCCCCCCTGCTGCTGTTGGTGATGGGGGGCCCCCTGCTGCAGCAGGCAATAAGGGGCTTGCTGCAGCAGCGGGTGATGAGGGGCCCCCTGTAGCAGCAGCAGCAGCAGTAGTATCAGCAGCAGCAGCAGCAGCTGCTGCTGCTGCTGCTGCTGATAGCCGCCGAGGACGCAGCCGCCAGCAGCGAGAAGAAGGAGCAGCAACGGGGGCTTGAGGAGCACAGAAATTCCTTATGGGGTATGGCTGCGGCTCCTGCAGCAGCAGCAGCAGACGCAGCAGCAGCAGAAGCAGCAGCAGCAGAAGCAGCAGCAGCAGCAGCAGCAGAAGCAGCAGCAGCACCAGAAGCAACAGAAGCAGAAGCAATTGATAAAGCCGCAGCAGCAGCAGCAAATGCGAAAAGCACAAGCAGCAACAGCAGCAACACACAAAACAGCAGCAGCAGCAGCAGGAGTGCATGCAGCAACAGCAGCAGCAGCAGCAGCAGCAGCACAAGAAACCCTAAACCCTAAACCCTAAACCCTCACCTTGAATGCGGGCTTGTCTGTAAACCCTTCTGTCTTTGTTTTTATTTGTTTTTTTCTGCTGCTGCTTTTTTTCTCTCTTCCTGCTGCTTCTTGTGGTGATATCTTACTTGCTGCTGCTGCTGCTGCTGCTGCTGCTTCTTCTGTTTCTGCTGTTTCAGGTGTTGCTGCTGCTGCTGCTGCTGCTTCCTCCTCCTCTTCTGCTGCTGCTGCTGCAGCAGCAGCAGCAGCAGCAGCAGCAGCACTGCTTTCCTCTGCCGTATCTTCTCCCTGAGCAGCCCTTCCTCTTCCCTTCCTCCCCCTCCTGCTGCCGCTGCTGCCACTGCTGCTGCTGCTGCTGCTGCTGCTGCTG